ATGTGCGCTCGCCTTTGTTCCGGACCTTTCATATCGAGCGGTAGCCATATGCTGCTGAACTCCAATGCTTCAAGAACAAGACTCGACGTTGAAGGCCCCTGTCGCAGAATCTCCGTTTTATGGCAGATTCTGTTGGGGCTCCATGAAGATTTGAGATACAGAGCGGTTTGAGAAGTCCTTGTAACCAGGACAACCTTATGGGTTACCCAACCACACCCCGCTATGCAACACCCTAAAACCTAAACCCAAAATAACCCTAAGCCCTAAACCCCCTAGAGTTCTCCTTGAGTAGGCTTATCTAGGGTTATCAAGGGAGAAGCTTCGCGGAGGAACAATGCCGCAGGGATCGCCTCAAACCTAGGTCCTACAAGTACGTCCCTGATGCCAGGCCCAAAATCCACAACCCTAATCTCGGAATTCCAAACCCTCATCCCTAAACCCTACCTGGACCCCAAAAGTATGTAAAATAATAGCCCTAAACCCATAATAATAGCCATAAAGGCCATTATTTTACATACTTTGGGGGCCCAGGTACTCCCTAAACCCTGCCGCCTAAATACACACTCATCCCGCAGCCGTTTTTAACGCCCACTCCCAGACAACCTTAGCTTTAAGCCCTATAAACTCGCAACCCCACACCCTTAACACCTACCCAGACCCTCCTATGTAGTTCCTTTTTGGGTAGTATATTATAGCCCGTTACCAAAAAACCATAACAAACCAAAAAAGGAACTACATTGGAGCCCTTGGGTCAGCCCTACGGCCTAGAAACTCGCAAGCCAACCACCGAAGCACCTGAGCCCGGAGCTCCCACAAGCCCTGAACCCTACTAAGGTTTAGGGTTTAGGGGTTAGGGGTTTAGGGTTTAGGGTTTAGGCGTTTAGGGGTTTAGGGTTTAGGGTTTAGGGACAGCCTAAGCCCAAACCCTAAGACCTATGAGCTCTCAATCCTACACCCTAAACCCTAGACCTAACCCTAAGGATCCAAGGACTCAAATAATGAGTTGTAGGGCTATAATCTGAATGGCATCTGGCACCTAAAGCCCTATTATTTGGGTCCTTGGTGCCTTACTTGGAGGTTCATGGGAAATAGTAACTACTTATACCTGGGCTTATAACCCTACTTATAACCCCCCTAAATGACCTTATAGGGGTTACCCCAATTATAAGTAGGCTTATAACCTCAGTTATAAATAATTACTAAGTCCCATGAACCTCCAACCCTAAACCCTAAACCCTAAACCCTAATCCCTAAACCTTGAAGCCTTAGGGTCAACCCTAAAATTCCGGGAGGTGGTCCAGGGCGCTAATGTCGGTGGTCAGCACCGTGGGCTTCACCACCTCGCAAGGTTGCGCACACAAGGGGGCGTTAGGTGCCCATAACGGATCTACTATATGAGCAGGGTTTAGGGCCTTGGTTTAGGGTTTAGCGTTTCAGGGTACTAGTTCCTGCTTAAAGGGAACCTGAGAGGGACCCATAATTTCCAAAAGCACGAGAAGCTTACTTTCTGGGGTGTAGCCCCCGCTGCTAGAACGGTAGTTTGTGTGAGTTTGCTACAACGGTGCTCTCAACATAGGGGAAAAGCCACCAATGGTACAACAGCAAGCAAAACTGTGGGATTGTAAACGCATTCCCTTACTTTTTGTTTGGCCCGAGATGTTGCCATCGTTTTGTTACCCTCTTCTCTTTTACCAAGCTTTGGACCTCATCGTATCGTTAACGTATGTTTCCTTTTGTGATTTTCCAACCAAACCTACATTGTGCACTTCGCTGCATGCCACATAATCCTCTGGCCCACGGTTGTTCTACAAAACCATGTGGATATCCCTAGTATACGGCTTCCAGGAAAATGCAGATATAACCTTCCCACCACATCTTCAAGCCTGGATGCAAGCAGTCAGCATGGGGCCCAAACACTGAGGCATAAATTCCTTCTGGCATTACAACCTAGCCACTTCCCAGACCCTCCTATGTAGTTCCTTTTTGGGTACTAGATTATAGCCCCTTACCAAAAACCCATGACAAACCCAAAAAGGAACTACATTGGAGCCCTTGGGTACGCCCTAAACCTTAAGGCACACTTCTGTCAAGTCTTTGGCGTCAAGCCTTCACAAGCCCCTGCCCCCAATCCAGGCAGGCTGAGAATCCAAACCCACACTTCCTCAGCTTTCACGACCACGCAGTTTAGCGCTTAGGGTTTAGGGTTTAGGGCTTAGG